CACAGGAACCTGTGTGTTACTCATGACGTTTAACACTACGTCATGACTTTGAGAGATGCTAAACTCATCGTCAATGAAGAAACAATAAAAATAGAAGACTGGATAGAATATTCAGCCATCAAACTACACCAGTGAACAGTCAATGCAGTTTCAGCATTGCTACCTCCCTTAATGAATGAATGTATGAATGAGAGAGAGAGAAAAAAAGAGAAAGAGAGAGAGAGAGAGAGAAAGAAAAAAGAGAGAGAAAGAAACAGAAAGAGAGAGAGGGGGGGGAGGAAGAACGTCGAGAAAGCTGGACAGGTGTTCCACAGGTGGGAGGGTGTGTGAAATGGTGGTTTGTGGTGAGCTGAGGGCTGTGTTAAGCTCAGGAATGCGATAAACACTGGTGGGCTGGCGAGGATAGGTCCAATCCTGTAACCACAGACTAGCGAGGATAGGTCCAGTCTTGTAACCACAGGTCGACGAGGATAGGTCCAATCCTATAACCACAAGCTATTTATCACACACTCGCTTGATCTTCACTTCCCACGCGGCTCTCAACCCCCCCCCCCATCCCCCACAAACCCCCACCCCCAAGACAGCAATTAAGGTTAGGCTATATTTATCTTATAATACACCATACAGATCGGCAGACACCTGGTCTTCCTTTGTCCACCCAGCCATGTCTTGTTTATGCCAAGGGAACACACACAAACATGCAGCAAAGGTTCACAAAAGGAAATTGGTTACTGCAAATCTTGATAACCGTGTCCTGGCATCAGTTTGATTTCCTTGTTTTAGAAATAATAAAACAATAAGAATACCATTATCAACAATAGTAATACAAATACTGTAGTATGTATGTTTTGATCGAGGGAGTTACTCACTATATTAGGTATCAATCAACTAAAACTACATACATAAGAAAAATATTTCCCCTCATTTTATATAATTATATATATGTGTGTGTGGGGGAGAGAGGGAGGCTTGAATGGTCCCCAAGCTGTAAATCTCTATAAATGTTACGACCTTTCGAGGTTTCGAACCTGGGCGGCCAGGAGTCACCCCCACTAGCTATCCAGTACGCCACCTAGGCACTGGAAGGAGAGATAAAGGATGCAGGTGGGGAAGAGTGGGTGGGGGTTCAGGGTGAGTGGGTGGGGGTTCAGGGTGGGTGGGTGGGTTCTATGGTGCAGGCGGTGCAAGCATGGGCATATTAAATAGGGTCCTGGTTTACGGGCTATTCATGCCCGTGCCACCTCTTGAGTGGCTTAATCTTTATCAATCATCAGGGTCCCGGTGGTACAGTCGGGTTTGTTCTCGGCGCACAATCGAGATTTCCGGGTTCGAGTCTAGGGCGGGACAGAAATGGTTGAGCACATTTCCTTTCACCCAAAGCCTCTGTTCACCTAGCAGTGAGTAGGTACTCAGGAGAGTTAGTGAGCTTGTTGTGGGGTTGCATCATGGGGCGGGGTCAGTTATTCTACCTGGGAGGGGGGGGGGGACATCAATAAAAAAGTCAAACGTGTGTGAATACACTTTGGCTTCCTGTCCAAAGTGTATTGACACAGTGAATTATATGTTGGGTGATATATGCAAATGATTGTTGGGGGGGGGGGGCATGTGGTATACGTGGGTATGCGTGTATAGCATATGAATGGTGTGTGGGGGGGGGGAGGTATAAGTAATATTTGTTTTATTTCTTAGGCGATAAAACAATGAATCCTACAAAGTCAAAATACCATACACCTTAGAATAAATAAAATACAATAGTATAAACTAAGATACTATATGGTCAAGCATGTGTTGTCGGTTTTAAGTTAGTGCAATGAGGCTTTCTCCATAAAACATTTAAATAGTTGGCATTAGGCTTCATTTCATAATTTTTTTAATTTTAGCTATACAGTACTGTCTTTTACTCAAATTGAAGTAATACAAGAGATACAGAATACACAGACCCGTACAAACAGATCTGATCACTGAAAAAACAAAGAAAAAGGAAAATAAACCCTTACCAAGAATTCCTAATTAGGACATAGTCATTTACACGAAATAAAACCAGTTGTATACAATCAATTGAACTGAACAATTCAACTGAATCTACGTGAAATTAATGGCACATGTGAAAGCCAGGTATACATAACATGTATTAGTGGTTGCTGGTTTCACCAACTTCATGTGTGGGATGTATTGGGAAAATACAGCCACATTACAGCAAACTTAATTTTCTTTTACCAGAGTTATATTAAATCCATTTAATTATGCACTCCATTTAATTATATTAAATGGAAATATATAATAACTAATAATTATATTAAATGGAGTGTAAGTTAATGCCAATTTTCAACGAATTGCCTTACAAGGTATCTTTAAACTTCTCATGGGAGGATCAGAAATGCTGGTTCCAAGCATGTGTCTGTGAGCGTGTCAGTAGACAGGACGGTGTCTGGTGAGAGATGGTGTCGGTATTGTGACCATGTATAAACCAGCTCATTGTAAAACAAAAAATTAATTACGAGGGAAAAAGGTGTTAGGACAGTCTATAATCGCCAGTCGGTGGGATGCTGCTCAAGGTCTCTGGGCTTAGTAACTGATAACCCAGCCCGTCCTCCTAAGGTTTCACAACATCAAGAAAACGGTCAATTTAAAGTGTCCTTATCCTAACCTACCAGAGGACCCAAAACAGAAAACGGGACTGTACGTCACTTTCGCCAGCTGCTTTCATTTTCAAGCACGACAGTTTTTGGCCTTAGGTAACGCATATGAGCGAAAAGCTACTTTCTTTTTTTGTAAGAGGACAGGTTGCAGCGATAGCCGTGGCTCCATCCAGTCTAACAACTTTTTAAACTATTATAAAAACCAATGTGAAAATATAAATACGTCAGAAAAATTTTAATAATAAATGATCATTTTGCACGAAAAAGATAAATTTTGATAGATTGATAAAAAATACGTGGAATTATTTTAGCAATCAAACAGTTATTGCAACAATACAGACATTGTGTAAATATTAAATAACAAAAAATGGCATGTAATATTTTTCAAGCATACCAACACTAATACAGATAATTGCAGAAGAAAGTTCCAGTTTTCAGCAACAAACAGATGTGTCAAATATAGAATATATAATAACTAATAATTTTAATAAAAATATAACAATAGCGACACATTCCCTTCTCCCAAACATTCTCCTTGGCTCGCTGTAAACATGACAAATCCTACACACACTTCACTTTTACTGACATTCACAATCGGGTTTACTGCAACAAGCTGCCGTCACCACCATCACCCACCTTCACCGACCACTGCGACCAGTTCCTGCCTGCCTGCCTTGCTTGCCTACCTGCCTTGTTTGCCTTGCCTGCCTTGCCTGCTTTGCCTGCCTTGCTTGCCTACCTGCCTTGTTTGCCTTGCCTGCTTTGCCTGCCTGTCTGGGTTGCCTGCTACTCTTGCCTGTGCTTCCTTACCTCTAGCCCTCACGTATCAATCACCCCTGCCTTTCCCGCAAATATCAAAGCCACACCCTGCCTTCTTTACATCTACGGGAGACATTTATCACGCAGGGTGCAGTCGCACCTCCACAGATATCCAGTATCATCTACTGATACTAGTAATGGCTCAAGAGAGCCACCACTTACGGGCTATTCATGCCCGTGCCACCTTTTGGGTGGCTTAATCTTCATCAATCAATCTTCTCTACATTATTGTACCACTCCCGTTGTGGAATGTAATCATCATGCACCCACCTACAGTAGCCTTCTCAAGTACGCTAAGCTCACTAGCTCCTTAGAGGGGGTTTCAAATAATACTCTTGTACATTACAGGCCTCTTCGAGTTGCCTTATAAATGATAAATTGTTTAGCAAATAATACGGCATATTTAAACTTGTTTTAACCCCACGACGATGACGAAAGGGAAACGCGGAGAATGTTGTTTCTTTGGTCACTATCTTCAGTCATGTTGTTGTGACTCATCGTCTGCAGTCAGGGGAGACATGATTACCACGTACACAATTCTCAGGGGAACTGACATGGTTGATTTCCCTGACAAACTATTGAACAAGGCTGGTATATGAACAAGGGGACACGGCCGGACACTTAGTACCCAAATAGACCAGAGAAATTAGAAAGAACTTGTTCAGTGTCAGAGTAGTTAACAGATGGAATGCATTAGGAAGTGATGTGGTGGAGGCTGACTCCATACACAGTTTCAAATGTAGATATGATAGAGCCCAATAGGCTCAGGAATCTGTACACCTGTTGATTGACAGTTGAGAGGCGGGACCAAAGAGCCAAAGCTCAACCCCCGCAAGCACACCAGAAGAGTACAAGCATGACCCATACATAAGTATATTTGTCACATGTTTAAATGAACAAATAGTATAAGGGAAATTCAACTTTAATTCTATATTCTTTGCCAATGGATTTTCCCATCCAACCTGCAGCTTTTTATTGGACCACAGATGGACGGCAGCCGTTGTAGGTATTTGTATTACTCTGAGAGCTTAATCAACCCAACACACCGGGTGGGATTGGTGACAACAATTAGTAGACCATATTGAAAAAAATAATGTGTTTCCATGCACACTATAACATATCGAACCATATATATCGAACCTTATAGGCATATATAGTTCTCAGGAACCAATTTTTACCTCGGATTTCATATATTGTCCTGGGAATAAGCGTGACTTAAAAAAACTTATTATAGCGTTGTTATTACAGCGTCCACTATATCCATATTAATGTTGTTTTCTGCATTAGACAACATTTAAGCTCCCCTTAAGAAACTTGAAGTCAAGCTTAATAACTGACCGATTATTATCTCTCCTTCCTGTAATATCACAAACTACTGACCCTCCCACAGGAAGCAACCCACAACAGTTGATTAACTCCCGGGGAACCTATTTACCCCCACGTGACCAGAAGCATCAGGTGAAAGAAAACGTGCCCAATCATTTCTGCCCTACCCGTGTATTTTAAACACAAACACTTTTTCAGATATAATATCGTACTTACCTTCCAATTTCTCAGGCGGCCATTGTTAATCCTCGAATATATACTGAGTATAACTTCCTCTGTCGTTAAATATATCGTTATATGCCTGGAGCTCGAGTTATCTTGGAGGGGTCCAGTGAGGAGCGCCAGACCGCACGAGCGCTACACCCACCTCTCACCGCGTCCACCTGTACACTGAAGCAGCACAGGGTTGCCAGAACTAAATTGCTGAAAGTAGCAAGCTGATGGTCTAAAAGTAGCGAATTTGTAATTAGAGTAGCCCATTTTTTTTTTAGTGAACGATATGGGTTTCAAAGTAATATATTTTGATATATAGAGTACACTACACGATGTTAATTGTTTTATTAATATTATTTCTGCAAATACACACACACACATTATATATTTTCGGTAGCTTTATTTCCTTAGTTTCTGAGCTGTTTTCTTTACCGTGTATGTTGTAATAAACTATTCCTATATTTACAGTTGTTTCTCCCTGTGAAGATTATTAAACAATGGTGATTATAAGGGCGCGGAAGTTCAGCCTGGCCAGGGCCGCCAGCAGCCCTTGGGCCAGCCCCGGCAGCTCCCAGTCTTTAATTTGGCACCTTTGTGGCACCTTTGTGGGACCTTGGTATAAGCCTAACATGTATATACACACTGGCTGCCTGTCCCCCTACACAATGATTTATTATTACCTATTATTTTATCGTTTAATTTAAATATTAAATAAAATAATTTATTTAATTATTATTGTAAGTACTTAATAATTTAATAATAAGTAGTAAGTACATAAAAATAATTAAAAATACAGTTTAGTCATAGGAGATTCCTAGATTGGAATTCACTACCAAATTTCAATATATCCAAGTATTTTTAGTGTGAAATGCCGTTATTATATGCATAAATTGTTGTTTTAATAATATTACTCTTAACCACTTGGGCTGGACGGTAGAGCGACGGTCTCGTTTCCTACAGGTCCGCGTTCAATTCCCGACCCCCCAATAGGTTAGGCAAAATTCCTTTCCCCCGTTCCATCCCAAATCCGTATCCTGATCCCTTCCGAGTGCTATATAGTCGTAATGGCTTCGCGCTTTACCTTGATAGTTCCCCCACCCCCCTGAATAATATTACAAGAGCAGTATTTACGGGCTATTCATGCCCGTGCCACCTCTTGGGTGGCTTAATCTTCATCAATCGAGAGCAGTACGTCCTAATCAGACGTTATATGATGATATCCTGAACAGTTGATAAATAAAAGTAATTGCGGAACTCCAGTTATCTAATACTTATCATAAATGGTATAAAACCTTATCATAAGCCAAAGGATTTGTAGATCAGTGTTTAAAGGGAATTCGGAAGTAATAATAACACAGCTGATGCCATCTCTCGGCAAAAGAGAACACTATCAACTGGCAGGTCAACAGTGGCCATAAGATACAGCTTACGCCATCTGTTGACATCAAATTACACCTATAACAAATTACCCTGCAAAATACAACTAACGCCATCTCTATTTTTTCCAACGCACTATAAATAGCCAAACAGCAACCCATAAGGTGGGTTGTTGTGCTCGGGTAGGAGGTTCCAAGCTCCGCCCCAAAATGGTATGGGGTGCATAATAAATGGCATATCATTGGTAGATATTCTTTGTTGACATTCACACAACAGCCAATCACAGGAAGGGATCAGCTAAAGGCTCCATCCACTTAATAAATCATCTTTATTCAGCACACCATTCTTGCTTATGACATTCTGCTTCAACTTTAATCTACCTAAAAAGTGAAATGTTAAGTATTTAAAAGTATTAATATAGTGATAATTAAATACTGCAGGATGTAACGAGTGTTACAGAAACATGGACTGGCTACCTGACTTGTGACGTCATCAGAGGGTGTTGCCTCACACAAATAATATCGGCGATACAATATGCCTCCGTCCTCTTATTGGTCTACATTATTCAGTTAGATGGAAATTTCTGTCTTGTATAAAACAGAAATTGTTATTCTTTTGTACAACACCAAGGTTATTGAGCAAAAGGACGTATTTCTTATTTTGCATTTTATTCATATAAACGTTGGCATTCCCCACAACAGCCAATCACAGGAAGGTATTTGTTGGAAACTCTGTCTTCAACAAGTTGATTCCTAATGAACTCTAACAATAAATTCGTTTAATAAACGAGTATTTAGGGTCAAGCTACAGATGAACATTATAGGATAACGGTGTTTTAGCTTGCAGCTTCGTTAGACAGAATCCCTGGTCATAATTTTAAAAATAAAGAACTAGAAAGCGTATTTTATTGCTAACTTTTCGAGAAATAAATCCCAGTCTCATATTTTCGAACATTTATGCATCGATTTTTTGGCTTAAGTTCTTATCATAATCCCTTTTGCAATCTCAACACCATCTGGCTCGTATCTTGTAACTATCTTCGTTACTTAGCCTCAAAACCTTACATTTGTCTTACATATCCTCAAAAGTAGATAAAAAAAAGTAATTGCAGAATTCTAGTTACCTAATACCAGCATGGTATAAAACCTTATTATAAGCTACCAGACGTATAGATCAGTGTTGAAAGTAATAATAATACATTATTATTAATGTAATAATATTATTAAAATAATAATAATACAGCTGATGCCATCTGTCGGCAAAAGAGAACAATCAACTTTTTTTTTTTCTTTTTTTTTTTTTGCAGGGATAATCCTGCGCGGGCCCTAAGCCTCTGGCTGGCCCACTAAGTGTTGCTTGTTTCTGTTTTACTTGGGCGGAGTATGAGTATTTATGACTCGTATGGTCGCTTCAGTAAGATTTTGCCATATGTGTTTAACAACTTCCTCTGCTCTGTTGAATCTAAGTTGAATCTAAGTTCAACTTGAATCTAAGTTGAAATCTTAACGGGTTTGTAACTGTGCACTGTGTTAGATAATGTTCCAGTGGTCTGTCGGGCATTTCTCCACAGTGTTGATATTTCCTCTCATCTTCCGGAACCTGTAAGCCTATTTCCCATGCACATGGGTATCCAAGCCTGATGCGATGTAAGTGCACTTCTGTTGTTCTACTGCCCCCTTTCATCAAACTAAGTGGTTCGTAGTTGGTTGAATTCTTGTACCAACCCGCAGATCCTGATGTTGCAACTGCTGTGTTGTGGTCACTGTACATCTTTTGCATTGCTCTGTGTCGAATTACTTTCTTCATCTGGGATAGACTCTGTGGTATGTAAATGTCTACATTTCTCCTCTTAGTAGCAAGTTTTGCAGCTTCGTCTGCAATGTCATTTCCTATTAGTCCCACATGACTTGGCACCCAGTTGATAAGTACCCGTCGGCCTTGTCGTTTGAGTGTGTGCATGAATGATAAGACATTTGTGATCAGATGGATGTTATCACATATGTGTTCTTGTTGCAAGGTCTCAATGGCGGTTCTCGAATCTGTATGTATGATAACATGTTGTCGGTGTTCAGCAAGAGCATGTTCCAAAGCCTTTTGAATGGCTAGCATCTCTGTTTGTAAAGTCGAACACCCATTTGAGAGCCTCCAACTATTTACAGAGTTTCCTGCTTTAACTGCAGCTCCGGTTTCTTGTCCCTGCTGGTCTACTGATCCATCTGTGAAGTAAGTGAAGCTGTCGGATGCCATGTTTGCTTCTATATGCATCTGTGCAATGTTACGTAGCAGATGAGGATTTGTCCGGTTCTTCTTTCCTTCAAGAGCCATAATCTTAAAGTCTGCTGGCAGAGATTCCCAAGGGGCTTGTATAACAAAGTCTGCATGTATTTCGTCGACACCCCTCTCAGTGACCGTGTTTGCCATATCGAATGTATCGATGGTGTTTATCGCACAATGGGTCCACCTGTTGCCATTGGAGGCTCTTCTGTCCAGAGTTAGCGCTCCAGTGATTATATCTTTAAGTGAACTGATTCTAGGTCTAGTCAATATCTTGGTCAGCATGCATGCAGCAATCCCTTTAACCCTTATTTCAATCGACGTTAGCTTTGTTTCTAGTCTTAGGTTCAGTATTTTAGTCCATCTGGGAGCTCCTGTTATGATTCGCAATGCATCATTTTGAAGAACCTCAACGTTTGCCCACTGACCAGGAGAAAGAGTGAGTAAGGCAGGCGCTGCATAATCAACCAGGGAACGAACGGCGTGTATGTAAAACATTCTCAACACTGTGTCCCGCTCCTAGACGGGGCCCTGTGATTGCTCTCATTATATTTATTCGTGATTTTGCTTTCTCCTTTAGATATTGAATTTGCTTATTGAATGTCATTTTAAAATCAATCCACACTCCGAGATATCGATAATGTGTAACCCACTGAAGGTCAATGTCTTGAACACTATCAACTGGCTGGTCAACAGTAGCCATAAGATACAGCTTACGCCATCTGTTGACATCAAATTACACTTATAACAAATTACCCTGCAAAATACAACTAACGCCATCTTTTTTTTTCCAACGCACTATAAATAGCCAAACAGCAACCCATAAGGCGGGTTGTTGTGCTCGGGTAGGAGGTTCCAAGCTCCGCCCACAGATGGTATAGGGTGCATAATAAATGGCATATCATTGGTAGATATTCTTTGTTGACATTCACCCAACAGCCAATCACAGGAAGGGATCAGCTAAAGGCTCCATCCACTTAATAAATCATCTTTATTCAGCACACCATTCTTGCTTATGACATTCTGCTTCAACTTTAATCTACCTAAAAAGTGAAATGTTAAGTATTTAAAAGTATTAATATAGTGATAATTAAATACTGCAGGATGTAACGAGTGTTACAGAAACATGGGCTGGCTACCTAACTTGTGACGTCATCAGTGGGGATTGCCTCACACAAATAATATCGGCGATACAATATGCCTCCGTCCTCTTATTGGTCTACATTATTCAGTTAGATGGAAATTTCTGTCTTGTATAAAACAGAAATTGTTATTCTTTTGTACAACACCAAGGTTATTGAGCAAAAGGATGTATTTCTTATTTTGCATTTTATTCATATAAACGTTGGCATTCCCCGCAACAGCCAATCACAGGAAGGTATTTGTTGGAAACTCTGTCTTCAACAAGTTGATTCCTAATGAACTCTAACAATAAATTCGTTTAATAAACGAGTATTTAGGGTCAAGCTACAGATGAACATTATAGGATAACTATGTTTTAGTTTGCAGCTTCGTTAGACAGAATCCCTGGTCTTAATTTTAAAAATAAAGAACTAGAAAGCGTATTTTATTGCTAACTTTTCGAGAAATAAATCCCAGTCTCATATTTGCGAACATTTATGCATCGATTTTTTGGCTTAAGTTCTTATCATAATCCCTTTTGCAATCTCAACACCATCTGGCTCGTATCTTGTAACTATCTTCGTTACTTAGCCTCAAAACCTTACATTTGTCTTACATATCCTCAACAGTAGATAAAAAAAGTAATTGCAGAATTCTAGTTACCTATACCAGCATGGTATAAAACCTTATTATAGGCTACCAGACGTATAGATCAGTGTTGAAAGTAATAATAATACATTATTATTAATGTAATAATATTATTAAAATAATAATAATACAGCTGATGCCATCTGTCGGCAGAAGAGAACACTATCAACTAAATACAACTAACGCCATCTGTTGCTTTTCCAACGCACTATAAATAGCCAAACAGCAACCCATAAGGCGGGTTGTTGTGCTCGGGTAGGAGGTTCCAAGCTCCGCCCACAGATGGTATGGGGTGCATAATAAATAAAATGGTGGCATATCATTGGTAGAAACTCTTTGTTGACATTCACGCAACAGCCAATCACAGGAAGGGATCAGCTATAGGTGCCATCCACTTAGTAAATCATCTTAGTTCAGCCCACCAGTCCTGCTTATGGAATTCTGCTTTAACTTTAATTTACCCAAAAAAGTGAAGTGTTAATAAAGTGATAATTAAATATTGCAGGATATAACAGATGTTATATAAAAATGGGCTGGCTACCTAACTTGTGACGTTATTATTGGGGGTTGCCTTGACACAAATAATGATACACGTAGGGCGTTCACCGATTCTAACATTGCTGTACAGCATAACTATATGCTGTACTTGCTGTATGCAATGTTAAATGGGATTCTTGTACTGTTATATGTCTATTTGTACTCACTGAATTTGTGCGCCCCTTGAGGGACTTGAAGTAGAGGGGGGTAGAAGGACTTGAAGTAGAGGGGGGTAGAAATAGCCTAAGCTACTCTATCCCTTTGAGATGTATTTATTGCTTATCTCAATAAACATACTTGAACTTGATCCCCCTCCACCGCCTCTACACAGGTTTTTACCTATCAGTGACTACGGGGAAACGAGGTCTAGCTCTTCATTCCCCACCTTTCACCTTCATTCAGAGGTTCTTGTGGCCAAGTGGTCAACGCTCGCGATTTCGAAATCAACCAAACCTCTTATAGGGAGTTTTTAATTGTTTTCCTGGGTGGGGGCGGCATGATCCACTCTTGTAAAAGCGAAACAGAAAACTACCTTTGCCTGGAGTGCAAAGGTAGTTTTCTCCAGGCAAAGGTAGTTTTCTGTTTCGCTTCTAGTGGGGTAGGGTTGTCACCTCTCCCTTGAGTGACAATGAAGCCCAGCACAAGGTTCTTATATCCAATTGAGGCACACAGCACCGCTCCTGTGCCAGGTAAGTCAACCACGGGCTCACCATAGCCCGTGCTACTTGGAACTTGTTCCGAGTAGCTTTATCTATAACAACAACTTATATCTTTAAGGTGGAGGAGGGGGGGGGGGGAAGCAATTATTATTATAATTGAAAAATGTATCTCCTCCCCTCCCCCCTCTTCCGTCTGATATAGGCTTCGTTGGGAGCAAGAAAAAAGTAAAGGGCGCGGTCACCCATCCATGTGGTGGCCAGAACCAATGTGCTTGACCTATGTGACGCTCACATAATTTATAATATCTTACATTATACTAATACTGAACTTTATTTGCAAAAAGGTACAATGGGTTGGCGAGATTATATAAGATTAGTATTTTCACATTCATGCAAAACCACTAACATGCATAACGTTTGAGACATTATGAAATGTATACATGTAATGTTTTGCTTTAATTAAGCCTATCTTTATATTTAAAATTAGTCATACAATGCAAAAAAAATGCTTATATTTGTTTGAACTGGGTGGTAGAGCAACGGTCTTGCTTCATGCAGGTCGGCGTTCAATCCCCAACTGTCCAAGTGGCTTGGAGTCATTCCTTCCCTCCGTCCCATCCCAAATCCTTATCCTGATCCCTTCAAAGTGCTATATAGTCGTAAAGGCTTGTTGCTTTCCCCCTGATAATGCCATCCCCCTACCCAGACACTGATTCAGAAAATGCAGTATTGCTTGCAATTAGGCTCATATTTGTAGACAGTTAATGGTACCGCGTTAACTTTGGCATATTTGCCCTTTATAGTAAATATTTGGTGTAATGTACCAATATGTTATGATAGACCACAAGGAAATTGACTTTTGTATTACTGAATTTAGACAAACCAGAAACTGTTTAAACGACAACCAAAACTCTCCCCAACAATCCTAGGCAAACATGAACTGAGACAGAAGTTTGAAAAAGAGGCAGTCTTGTAGGAAAATGAAGGAGGCGAGAGAACAGGCTCTTCCTGAAGTGCAGTAGCCTATCACAAGCCCAAGTTGGGATGTTGCAGGGCCTGCCCCAAATTGGGATGTTGCAGGGACTGCCCAAGTTGGGATGTTGCAGGGACTGCCCCAAATTGGGATGTTGCAGGGACTGTACAAGTTGGGATGTTGCAGGGACTGCACGAGGGACCAAAGGAAGTAATAATATAATGATCCAGTAGACAGGACTCTGGTTTCAACATAGAATACAAACTATAGGTAAGGGGACAAACGAAGGGCACTAGAGCAGAGGCATAATTCAATATGATGCACAGCGTCGAGACGACAAAGGGTCTAGAGAGAAGCAGAGGGATAGATAAGGACAGCCATAATAGAGTTTAGACAACACAAATGAGGAGTGCAAATAGAAAGCTGTACACTTCCTGTGTACAGCTAGAGAAGACAATGCAAAAAATAAGTAGAGAAGACTAGTAAGATAAGGGCCTTGGAACATTCAACTTGGAAGGAAGACATTTGGCAACCGAAACAAATGGGTATCAAAGACAACTCCAAGAGTTTAGGATTATTCTTATAAAAAAGTATTTCTATAGAGCAACAATGTAGGACGAGGAACGACATGCCTCAGAGATAAAAGTCAATAGTAAAAGTCTTAGTTGGGGAAGAACTTTAACCCATGATTGGTTGTCCAGATCGATACATTATCAACCGCAATTTGGCGCTCGCATTTTAGAAGAGAGAAGTCGTCATTGCAAGAGTAGACTGAGCTCATCAACATGAATGGTCAATTAAAGGTTATGGAGGGAGGGAGGAAGATCAGTTAGGGCAACCAGGAAAAAAGATGTACTATGAACATTGCTTTAGGGAACACCTTCATATTATTTTAAAGTCAGAAAGCCATACCCAACGTTACTTTAAATGGAATGAATCTTCAACTTAAGTAGAGGAGGGTTGGGAGGAGATCATCATTCCGAATCAAGAGCAATAATTAGGGGTACAAAGGAATAACTGTAGTGACCATGATGAGCATCAAGCATCAGCTCTTGGAAACCTATATAAAGTAGTGAAAGCAGATATCAAAAGCAGTAGTTCATTAAAATTGCCATAAAAAAAGCATGCAAATTCCATTCACGGGAAGACAATACTGTATATATGTATCAATGGCTTCCATATTTGGTGGCAACTGTTAGGTCATTGGAGGCAACACCATTGTGACTGGGGACACTACAAAAATATATTTTACCTGCTAAAGACAAGATACAACCAATGACTAATTTCCATTACCATGGCACGAGACAAGTTAAAAAAAAGAGAGACTTGCAAAGACATTAAAAACAAACATTCTGGAGTAGTCAACATAATTAATTTCATATTTCAGGGTACTGTATACAAATATCACAAAGCATTGCGTGTTTTATTTTTAAACTCCTACAAATATCATTAACCTCCATGCACAAGGGGGGAAGAGAAAGAAAGAAAGAGAGAGAAAGAGAAAAAGGAGAAAGAGAAAAGGAGAAAGAGAAAAAGGAGAGAGGAGGGGGGAGAAGGGAGAAAGGAGAAAAAGAGAGAGAGAGAGAGAGAGAAATAGGTAGTTTTGAGATCATAGGATAGTTTTGGTCTCTCCTTCCCTTAGACCAGACAAAGAACTTCACAAGTGTTGCACTCACCCTTCCAGGAACGCTGAAGTATCCAAGCTAACTTTGCCATGTCAAAGTACTGGACATTAGGGGAGGCTGTAGTTGAAGAAACTGCATTACAATGAAAAACAACAGTTTAAGAACTACCTAAGTGTGTACCTCTAATTCAAGTAGTGACAAAATTAACAACTTCTCTAAACTGCATCCATTGCCATCATCTCATGAATTCTTCAGCCACCTTGTGGAATAGAACACCATTGTTTCTCTCAAACACAATTCAGTAACCATTTGGAGAGCTAGATCCTTAATCTCTCTCATTCATAATTGTGCACTGTTCAGTGGTTAACACAGTCCAAGTGATTTACCTTTTATTTTTAATGCTATAAAATTACAATAACAAATTTTGAATATGCTGTTTAGATATTATCAATGTTAATAAAACATATGCGTGTCACTAGAAGGAAAGCTAAACAAAAACCAATTGCTACATTAAATAATGAAAATAACAGCACGGTAGAGGATAAGAACCAACATAATACAGGAAATATATATTTATTTATTTATTGATATATACAGATTTGGTGACAAGATTCTAAAATACAATTTTATATCTCGTAACATACTCTTGGCCTTCCCCTAGTGGGTCTAAGTGAAAAGACTAGGCTACAGCAACCAGGGTTCTTAATTCTTGAAACTTTCAAAATCCTAAATGTTTTTTGAGTTTTAAAATACTAAAAATCCTGACAGCACCTAGACTTAAGACTGTGAGGCTAATTTTCACCGATAGCCAGGCAAATAAAGTCTCCATTTAGGTTACCTAGTCAATTCTGACAGAGGATTTGAGGTGAAAGACATTTGGAGCCTCTTTTGAGAGGTACACGAATCTGATACAAGTTTTCTGTTGGAATGTTAAGATTTTTAAAGATCATTCAATGGCACATACAATAAAAAAAAAATGGCTACTAATAATATAGGTTTAACTCTGAGGTACCGACTGTGTATCCAGTCAGTATCTTTGGCACTAGCTTTTTTTTTTCCTATTGCACAGAGTTTATGTGCACAGTTGTTGCAAATTGTCATGTTCATATATTGTCACAGTCTTTGAGAAACATGGATGTACAATTGGTAAATTATTATATTATCAACAATGTTAAAACAATGAAACAATGTAGCTGTTTTACAGTGGGATGTTTACATTTTAACAGTGATGTGTCAAAACTACACTAAGGAAGTGTGCAGTAGTTATGGCTAGTAAGTACAGTGTATGGGATGAAGCTTGTCAAAATCCACTACATAAATATGACCTAGATAATGAAAAAAAAAAGAAAAAAAAAGTTTCTTACCATCATATATAATTCCAACATTTGTACAGTACACATTTGCGACATGATCTGTCTGCAAGACCATCTCACTGACGCTACCTCAATATATTTAGTCCAGTTGCCAGTACTGTCAAAGTGTGATAGTTCGTGCAGTGCTAATGCAGAGCATCTTGCAGATGACCATGCCATCTAATTCTGAGCAAAATGAAGTTCATGCAAGAGGTAACATACAAATGAGAGAGAAACTCAATTCATTTAACGATCCATCAGCTACAACACTCTCAAATCACCACTTCATCTGCTTGCCAGTTTGTGAATTGGTTAATAAAAGCCTCAGCTGCTTAAAAGTAGATCCCAAGAGACTGAAATGATACTGTTCACCCTCTATATAGGTGTCATGCAAAGCTGCTGTATATCTCTGCCTAAATGTTACCGATATTACGGCCCTATGATATGAGGAGGTCCAGATGTCCCATCGACTGGTCTGAGAGTGTCGCTTGACAACTGGAAGCAACGAGTCCCGCCACACTGGATGACACCTGTGCCAGAGCTGCCCATGAGGAGACTGTGGATAAATATCTGGAAAATATGAAATCATGATTATCCAAAAGCATCTTGACAAGACGATACAAATTATACACAATAAAATAATGCCCATTCCTTTTCTAATACAGTAATTACTAATTACATAATTAGTATACAGTACTTTTTATGTAAACTTCCCAATTATAAATAAAGTTTTGGAGCGAGTGACTGACATTGTCCTCCAGCTATATACTGCATTGGTCAAATGCCCATGTGTGAATATGCTGTCATATTGCCACCTACCTCGCATACCCAATTAGAAATTTTCTTGGATTCTAGCTCACCATATACAGTACATGTCTTTACTGTTGCACCTTCATGAACATTACCAACTTTTGTGTTGTCATTCTGTGTTCACAAAAAGTGTATCTCCATATTTATTGGCATCAACAGAATTTCAAACGTGTTTGAAGTCGTGAACATTTAAAGTGTAATAAGCAATAACCACCAAATGAGATATAACGTGAACATGAAAAGATATAATGGAGCTTCTTTACTCTTGCCACAAAACACCAATACCAATCAGTTGATAATATAGACATTGCATTTACATTGCATACATACTGTATATACATTGCATTTACAGGCAGTCATATGTTTTCTCGACAAAACCACTTGACAATAACTATACATGTATGATTAAACAAAAATTTTTAGTTCCCACAAAAGATCCTTGTAACTTTGAGGCAATTTATATGCCAGAAAATGTGACATTGGGAGCAATGTAACAAACACTTCAAGTTAAAATACCTTTGAGCTGTGTTAAGTATTATTTATGAAGGTTGCTGAAGAACACCAAGCGAGATTTTCCCTCTTGTTTTGCGAAGCAAATCAATGACCGATTCAGAGTCCCAACCAACAACATCAACATTGTTAACCTGAAAACAAAAGTTTATTAAATCATTTATTCATTTACACACAATACATTACATAAATTGCTACCAAAATGTTTACATTATTACAAATCTGCTTCCTCAACAACTCTCCTCAAGCATTTCTCTAACATTTCATTACTCATAAATAAGAATAGTTATTCAACTTTTCAATATGTAACTTTGAACTTTCTGTAAAGTAAAAGCCACGGCTCAAGTAACTCACCTTCACTACTACATCTCCTATTCTTAGTCGACCATCTTTGGCAGCAACACTATCGGCATAGATTGCTGTGATAATCGTGTCGTCCCCCTGAGGTTGTAAGGAAAAGCCCAGGCGGCTGTTCCATCCTCTGTTGAGCTCGAGTGTCACTATCTGTAACATTAACAATGTTAATGCACAATGAGTCGCAAGAACATTAATTATCAGTGAACATCAAGGCAATATGATGATCAAACCCACATCCCTGGATTCTCCAGGCACTCTCACTACCACAGCGAGCTCAGAAGTATCTCCGAAATGCTTTCAAGCTAATGATTCAGCCAGTAATAAGCAAGCCTTAAAGTCTGGGGGATGTGGGTTCGATCATACAGCCTCAATATTTTCTCAATGTAACATTTCTCCAAAGCTATTGGTATACCGATATACATTATAACAATCAAATACAGAAGTATTTTAACAAATTCCTTGGTGAATACACAATTGTCATTTCAATTAGTAAAGAACAGTAACAATGGGGTTAACACCCATCACCATGCATTTGAGATTTTTCTCAAACTACTGTGTGCATAATGTTCACCATTTTCCAACTCTTAAATTACTACAAACAACTACTAGTAGCCAAGTTTACAAAGAAAAATATACAATTGTCAAGTTAAACAAAAGTATCAACTACCTTTGGTTTTTGTGACTTTGGCGATTCCCTTGTACTAACATCTTCCTTCACAGACTCTTCTGTTGATGTGCTGTCATCTTCATCAGGTGTAAAGACAATGCCTTTCCACTTTAATAAGCCATTATTGGGAGGAGGCTCTTCACTGTCGTGGCCACTTATATTATGGTCTGATGTCGTATTGGTAAGTGTCAGGTCTTCATGTTGATGGAGAGCCCCTAGGTTGACACTGTGGTATCCCTGATGGAGGAGCGAGAATGCTGGGGTATCACTGTGAGCAGAAGTCAACTGGGGCGCTGAGTCTAGGGAGTCAGCCGAGGGGTACTGAGCACCTAGGGGAGATGGAAATGACTGATCCACTTCATGAGGTGGTGTGAATTGTGTTTTGCGGGAACAACTGCGTCCATTACTTAAATCTAGAAAACTTGGTCTCTTGGGTCTGGACGACTCCGAGTTGGAAGGTGTGAATGAACAAGAGGATGCGGCAGAGGAGTTTCTTGAGCGAATAGTGGTGGAGGTGGAGTCATCCGTTTGACTATCACCAAATGGAGATGTTTCATGATCTGTTTCTCTAATGCTGTTGAGGGAAAGTTTACTTTCCAATGTTGGACTTTCTGGCAGAGATTCTTCTGTCTTCCTTACTAATGAATCCCATCCTGTCAGAAAAATATTAAGATAATTTGTTAGTCTTTGGAATGTATAGCATGATATTTGATGAAACAACTGGTTTTGGTAGTCATTTAACACTGTCTCAGGAATGTTAATGATTATACTGTATGCCATCTACAATAAATTGAATTTAAAGAAATCAATATTAAAAATTCTATAAATAATTGGCTACAAACTATGCCAAGGCTGAACCAATCTTCAATAGTGTAAACTAATTTAGTGACTATACTTGTTTGGAAAAAAATTTGACTCACTATCAATAACAACACTCTTGATATCTGGGCTGGGCGTCTTCTGTAGGCGACGTCTTCTAGGAGTTCCAGGAGAACTTGACGCACCAGTTAAATTTAAAGAACTACCAGGAGATTGTTTTCTCATTGCCAGGTCTGTCAGCATATCTCTTGCTTCTTTACGAAGAGCTTTTGGCTTTAAAACAACGTCTGGTTCTGTAGGTGAAGCTGGAGACACGGGAGTCTGCATAGCATCTCTATACAACCTAAGAGTAACAGTTTCTGGGCATGTACGCAAGAACGCTATTGCTTCTTCATGACTCAAGCTACACATGTTGGTGCTGTTAACTGAAATTATTTTATCCCCTGGCCGTAGTCTCCCATCAGAAATGGCAGGCTCTTTTACAAGAGAGCGTATTGTGTGTCCCAGGATGCTGTTATCTTGTTTGCGCAGAGTGAAGCCCAGTGATCCAGCTACTTTTGTTAGTTCCACCTCAAACTCCTGAAAGCACACAATTAAAGGATTAAATTATTGGAAGAATATTAAGGCACAAATGTATTGGTTCACCATGTTTTTTCCCATAATCAGGGACACTAAGTCTGCTAGGTTTATAGAGACCTCTCAGGCCAACTACTGAACTTTCCTAGGATGCATCCCACCGAGGAATTAAGTGAAGGGAAATGGCCCAAATGCTTCCGCTTTGCCACGTGATTCTAGCTCGGGACCCAGCTATAACCCATATGAACTCACCATTGTGTCATATTTACAATAATTATTAATACAATACTGTTGTACTTTAAATACTACTTTACCTATACAGTTCTGTTTAATGGTCAATATGAAATTCCTTTGATAATCAGTTGGTTAATCACCAAATCCAAACACTATTCTTTAACTTAATTCTTTACTTTGGCCACAACTAAATTTAACCAAAAACTTTTAAGGTTCTAATTTTTGTGTTGGTCTTCTATGAGCAGATTTATTAGTTTAAAAAATGTTAGAAAAAATATGTGTGGCCATCTGCCTATGAATAAAGTTAGCAAATATCAAAAGAAGGCACCAAGCTACCTATGATTACAGCAAGAGGTCACACGTGTTATGAACAATGATACGACAATGATGTAATGCACCTACGAGAAATTACCAAAACAAACGGGATCAAACTCATCCCTGCATGCAGCTTTTTTCTTACCCCAAAAGATGAGAATGATGGCGACGGCGAGAGGTAGTTTTGACTAGCATTCGGAACGACGAGGCTGGTGGAAACAACCCCCAAGCCAGAGCCTGCATCGCAGACGTCTTCTCCTTCCCCCAATGCCCCACGTGGAGGCCGACACACCTCTAGCGTCACTTCGCGCTCCGCAATACGAAGCATCTCCAACGCTTCCTGCAAGACAAGTGGGTACAAGGTAAGAGCAAGTGGAAGGCACTCTCGGAGGAAAGTAGAACAAAAATACACGAAGGCCTGAAAACAATATTTCGTATTATTTTGACTACAAATTAGGGTATGTGTATGAAGAACAGCATAAATGTTTTAATCTTTATTTTATTTTTTTATATTGGTTCTTGGATAGATTAAGGGACATTCTTATTTCTACACAATTCATTTTTAGAGCAAAATTACATTATTACTTTTCCCAACAAGTTACTTTTCATATTAAAACTTTAATAACTGCCACAAAACAATGTTATTTATATTGCATAGAATATGAAATGTAATTATTAAACATTGCACAAATTTTCTTTTCAAACTTACATGACTTGACAATCCAGTGAGTGGTTGGGTATTTGCATGAAGGAGGATGTCCCCCACCTCGAGCTGCCCACAAAGCCATGCTGGTGTCTGAGGGTATAGTTTCTTGATGCGGATGAGACCAGCAAAGGGAACATCACACTCTATACCCCCAGTTACTGCCAGCCCCAACCCTCTAAGATTCTTTATCACAGTAACTTCAAAAAGTGTGCCTGAAAAAGAACAAAATTGCCATAACTTGAGTGCATTTAATACTGCAATTAGATATGTAAATATTATCTTTGGCATGAAAACTAAATTTGCAACACTGCTGCACCCAGCAAGTGCTACAATTACAGAATAGCAATATATGGATTCTTAACTAAATCTGGGAAGATGAAAAATAACATCCATCTGTTATTTGATACGTAGACCACTCAATATTACAGTCAGGACATTAAATTTGGAGGAAAAACAAAAATTAAGTACTGAATACCATAGTAATACATTCTATCAATATAAATGATAATGAAGTGAACACTGACTATTCTAAATGTTTCACCTTTAGAATAGTGCATCTCTCCCAATTCTACCTTTACTTGTTAAAACAAATGGTAATGTAAACTTTAAGGTAGTTAAAGTTCTAATTCTGCAGTGGCATTTAAAGGCCAGCTCTAAATTCTGACATTCCTACTGGTCCCTGCACTACAATCTAGAATATAGCCCAGCATTTCTCAACCTGGGCACCCAGAAACCCCAACTTAGGGGGGGTTCCACGAGAGCAAGATAAATAGGCTAATTCCTCTTTAGCCTCTTCCTCGGTTCCTAGTTTACAAGTATACTGTATAAGCCATTGTGCTGCAGGGCCGATTAATATTTGACTAACAGGCAGGGATTGTACTACATGAAAATTATAGTCCAATTCAGCTCTTTCACATCAAACTTTACCTTTCTATATTTTTCCTCTCTCCTTACCTTCATTTATGAATGGGAAGAGCTTCATCAGCTCGTGTGTGGTCAGGATTTGCCCAGATGGCAGCTTGAGGGAACGGTGATCTTGTATCACATGACTTTCTGCATCACTGTTTTCCAGAGTACTGTGACAGTATAAAGGTGGTCCCTCCTCCTCTTCTGGCGACCTCTCAGAACTGTAGCCTGGGTCATAACCATAATTATCTTGGCCGGTAAGGTCACTGTCGAATGCATAGTTATCATGACCGCCCAAGCCATTAGAGTCATCGACCACATACTTCGCTGCTCGCCCGCTCACGGTATTTACATCTTCTGCAAGTATAGAGCAAAATACTTAATACCTTCAATTATATTATCCATATTTAATAGTATAAAGAAAAAGTCATCCACCTGTCCTCACAATAAATGCCTTGCAATCTTAATGCAATTTACCACAGCTTCAAAATACCAGTGCTTTAGTGAAACTAACATGTTCCATGTTAGTTTCTAACATGGAACATGTTAACTAACATTGTTTATTAGTGTTCCATACACTAATAAACATCAGCCAAAACTAGTTAGGTTGATTGCCTTTAATCGTACAACTCTGGTTAAGTCACTTCAAATTTAACTTTGAAGAATGAGAACTTTGATATTTATGTTCCCCGTACCTCTCGCTTGGCTTGTGAGAGGTACGGGGATCGTTACCCCGCATCTCCACTAAACACAGGACAGAACACGAAACAATGGGTATAAATTGGATAAGTTTAGATTTAGGAAAGACTTGGGTAAATACTGGTTCAGTAACAGGGTTGTTGATTTGTGGAACCAATTGCCGCGTAACATTGTGGAGGTGGGGTCCCTCGATTGTTTCAAGCACGGGTTGGACAAGTATATGAGTGGGATTGGGTGGTTATAGAATAGGAGCTGCCTCGTATGGGCCAATAGGCCTTCTGCAGTTACCTTTGTTCTTATGTTCTTATGTTAGAACTGTATTCTTAATAATTAAATAAATGACCAAGCTTCTTTAAAATAGCTTTTAATATCCAAACTTTTATCAAATTTAAATTAATAGAATTATTCTTTATTATACTGAAATAACCAACTGCTCTTTTGAGCGTTTAATAAATTGAGCTCGAGGTCAAAATATTCCATGTACTGTACTGTAATACACAGACTAACCCTTCCCCCCGCCCCCCTCTCGACAAGTGCCAAATAACCCCCCACCTCTTGACAACAATTGCCAACTAACCCCACCCCTCAACCACAAATCCAACTCCCCTCCCCCTCAAGTCCAACTACCCCCCCTCCAACCCCCTTTCTACAAGTGCCAACTAACCCCCCCCCCCCCTGTCAACAAGTGCCAACTAACCCCCCCCCCCAGATAAGCACCAACCCACGCACCTGGCGGCTTGTGCGCGAACACATGATCGTTGTGATTGAGATCATGCGGGCGATGAGGGTAAGCCTGTTGCTGTTGGGCGTCAGTGACCAGCATGTCGCGGGCGTGCTGATGGCTCTCCAAGTCCAGGGAGGTCAATAGGGCGGGGTCTACGGGCTGTGGGTGGGCAGGCTCAACATGACCGCCCCGCCCACTTACTGTAGTGGGTGTGGTGTGGGAAGCTGCCACCCCTCCATATACCTCCACCACACGCTCGCCTGCCAAAGAAAAAAATACATTGATATATCAGTTTTGTTTGTATATTAAAGTGTGCTACCGTATGCCTACAGAATTATGGTTTAACCATAATTACATTAATATTATAATACGTTTGTTATGTATTCGATAGCCATATCTAATACACAAGTGCTACATTAAATTACGGGTAAATTAGTATCATTGTAATACAATAAGGTGGCCCAAACGAGGTCAAAGAAAACAGCATTTCCAAACGTGTTAAATACATGTTTACAAGCTTTTTAAACTATTGAATTTAATCTTTCACTTTAAAAGCTATGCCAATTGAAACCTATAGTAAATATTTTGGAAAATTGAACGTCCTCATCTACATTACTGACCATTCATTTTCTCCGTATCAAAGCATCCAATTTGTACAAGAGGATAGTTAGCCATAAAACACGAAATATGCGGTAGTTTAAAAACTTAAAATTATTAACCTAAGCCAATACACGGCAGAAACGCAGTAGAATGATCAAGTATTTACCATTGCTGTGCCGCCTCTTCTTGTAGACACAGCAACACAACTTTTCTATTAAGGGAGGCATTGTTGACACTTGCTATAATACCCAAACTACCATCACTCCCATTCAACGGCCCAGTTCTCACGGGCGAAACCACTATTAACACCCTCTTCTCGGACGCCATTCACGATCATTAAAAATCACTCGTTTCGTAGGGTTGCTTAGGTACAATCCACGGTTGTTCAGCAAGCACTGGGCATCCTGGCCCGATATTCAGCCACTGTATGGAGATGGTTCAGGGCCATGTATCCAGATTTCTACCATCACTACATTATGGCAACAGAACAGTATAGCATTATCGAGGCGGTACAGAAAGCCAGGACTCGCTGCAACAGAACAGTATTGCACCACCAAGGCTGTAGAACAGGCGAGGACTCGCTGCAACAAAGCAGTATAGCACTACCGAGGCTGTAGAGCAAGCGAGGACGCCTTGTCAGCAACTGAGAAGCAAGTGTGACAATAAGCGGGTTGATGCGAGAGAGGAGCGGCGGCCAGGGGGCTGTACAATGCTCTACTGACTAACCAGGAGTGGTTTTATCTTTCTCCTCGCCGCTTATCACATCTTGGTTATCAAACCTACCTGCTGGGCAAACCCCTACTCAAAGCCAACTATTTTCCATACTTAAAAAAAATAATTACCCCAGATAGATCTTAATAATTGCTAAACAAGTTAGTGCTTTGAATACATTTGGGTCATTACCCGATTAACAAAATCTAAGCCACATTAACGTTGTGAAATCCAAAATGTTATGATAAGGGCCGATATCTAAGATTATCCCTTTCAAATCTTTACAAATAATATTCTGACTTGCTTGTTTGATATCGTTCCAGATTCAGATAGTTACACAGTACTTTAAAGGCAGTTTAATCCAAATACAATACGAATTCCCTCGTGTGGTTATGGGAAATACATATAGACCAAGTCATTAGTCTAGCAAGGAAATGCCTTACTGGATAATTTTAATCAGATTTCGAACACGCAATTTTCACAAATGGCAATACGAAACATCTTGAAGTGGCAATATGTGTAATTAATTTAGGAATAATTTCTTGTGTCCACACTGTTTTAAATGAATCTTCCATTCGAGGGCGTGAACACCAATCAGACGTTTGAGGTATATGCGTTGACCACTGACTACGAACTGGTGCTTCACACTCGGAGCAACAAGGGAACCATACCAGACTTCAGATGACGTGGAACAGGGTCATAACAACCACCAATAACCTATTAAACAAAACTACAAAGAGTACCACTAGTTTACCCAAAACAACAAAATATCCATTGCCTTACCAGAATAATATAACGACGACAATCCAAACCCGAATACGGATCCCCACTCACAATGAGTAGCGACCAAGGAACCCATGAGCACACACTAAACAGGAGTCCCTCTCTCTCACAAACACACCACACCACTGACAACACACACACAACCAGCCACCACACCTAGCTAGAACCTCCATTGTGGGAATACGGGGTGGGGTTACAACTCATCCTGTCTACCTACGTCATTCACCTCGACTACCGGAGAAAACTACACTAGCTTTAAATAGCGCTCTCATTAACAGGATTTCCGTTTCGCCATGGTCGGTCTGACCATGGGAGAGTACCGTACATAGCATTTATTTTTAACTGTTACATTCATTACTGCTGACGTATCTCTGTCTTATCCCAAATCCTTATCCTTACATCCCTTCCAAGTGCTATATAATAATAATGACAGCCCTCTCTCCTGATAATTACCGTACCTTACTGTTACCGTTATTGTTGTTAACCTGTTATTATTGGCATTATAGAATTAATGCTATGTTGCCCTATTCTGTTTAATACACCTTTTTGTATGAATTTGCAATAATTTATATATAATTATTAGTGATACAGCCCCTATTAATTAGCAGTCCCCGTGGCGCAGTAGTAAAACACTCGCCTGGCGCTTCGCAAGCGCTGGGTTCGTATTCTGGCCAGGGAGGATTGACTGGGCGCCTATCCTTAACTGTAGCCTCTGTTCACCCAGCAGTGAATGGGGGTTGTTAAACGATTTGGCGGGTAGTATTCCGGGGAAAATTAGTATTAAAAACCTGCCCGAAACGCTACGTGTGCTAGTGGCTTTACAAGAATGTAGGAACTCTTGTATATATAAATAAAATCTACAATATGTTCATGTCAAATTATAAATATGAATAGGTTACCTATCGTAGAATAGGTTACATGCCATAGATTAGGCTACCTGATGTAGATTAGGCTACCTCCCGTAGATTAGGCTGCCTGTCGTAAATTAAGCTACCTGCTGTAGATTAGGCTGCCTGTCGTAAATTAGGCTACCTCCTGTAGATTAAGCTGCCTGTCGTAAATTAGGCTACCTGCTGTAGATTAGACTATCTGATGTAGATTAAACTACCTACCGTAGATTTTGGCTACCTGCTGTAAAAAAAAAAAACACGAGATACCATTTTGCATCACTACCCAGAAATTAACGTCACGTAAAATCCCCTGTGCTGTAGAAAGTGGGATGTGGAGTTAACAGTTCCGAGAGCAGGTGAACCCAAAGGACCCAGCCCCTTACCGGATACGGATATGACCAGATAAACAACCCCTCCCCTCGGGTATTAAGCTTAACCTTAAAATGAAATTGAAATAAGTTTATTGAGAGCTTAAAATGACACTCGTGACTATTTGAGAGATCTATTAGCAAACCAATCTTATACTGTTCAGAGTGTCCACGTGTGATCTTTGCAAAAGTTCGAACTGCAGGTTCGAACTTATCATGGGGTTCAAACCAGTCCTTTCGAAGAGTACATCGCATTTTGACACAAATCTCTCAGCCCGTCCTCCAAACAAAGACCCAGAAGTGATTCCATGCACCCGCCAAACCCCCTTTTTATGAATGAAAAAAGATTTACACACAACTCACAACTGTTGACGTTCGAGCACTTCCGGAACAAGTGCTTCGCTGACGAATTTTGTTCGAACCACAACGCTGTAAACAGCCCGTCCTCCAAACAAAGACCCAAAAGTGATTCCATGCACCCGCCAAACCCCCTGTTTATGAATGAAAAGCGGTTTACACACGACTCACAACTGTTGACGTCCGAACATATCCGGAACAAGTGCTTCACCCACGTACTACAAATACAAATAATCACCAACAGAACCTAAACACCTAACCTAACCTATGCCTATATATACACAATATGCTAATATATTATAATATTAATTTATACTTGAGAAAATTCCCGTTTTGAATGAACAGCATGTTAAAATTTATGAATGCGTCTGTGGGGTTGACCGCTGAATGTAATGGACTTGAGTCGAGGATGGGTTGCTGTAAATGCTTCACCCACGTACTACAAATACAAATAATCGCCAACAGAACCTAAACACCTAACCTAACCAATGCCTATATATGCACAATATGCTAATATATTATAATATTAATTTATATTAGAGAAAATTCCAGTTTTGAATGAACAGCATGTAAAAATTTACGAATGCTTCTGTGGAGTCGACCGCTGGATGTAAGGGTCTTGAGTCGAGGACTGGTTGCAATCCCCCTACGGCAAAAATAAGTGTTGTACTAAAAGTCACATCGGATCGCAAAATTGATGCAATGTCCCGTTTTCTATTAGTTGGTCATCGGGTAAATTAGTACATTAGTTTAATGAGGTTGTGAATGCAGGAGGTGGGGTGAGAGGACGGGGGTGTATGGTAACTGTCCTCGTAAACAAAGGATAAATGCTCATTAATCAAGCCGGCCACCCAATGCATGAAAAATACACATGACTAGCCAGCCAATCCTCGCATACAAAGCTCGTTAATCCAGTCGCCAAACTCCCTCTATTTATGAACGAAAAGCGGTTTACACACGACTCACAACTGATGACGTCCGCACACTTCCGGAACAAATGCTTCGCTCACGTCCTCTGTTCGAAACATAATTCTATAAATGCTTCACTCGCGTACTTCTAATACAAATAATCGCCATCAGAACCTAAACACCTAACCTTAACATATGCCTAACTATACATAGAATTTTTATGTATAATAATATTAATTTATGTATTAGAACAAACCAATTTTTAATAGTGTCAAAGAATGCGTCTGGGAAGGACGACCGCTGCTTTAAACAGCCTAGTGTGAGGACGGGTTGCCGGTTTGCATAGCAGTTATCTAAATATTTCACACACGAACGGCAAAAAAATCTATATATACCAATTGATTTTAAACGCCTAGGCTATCCTAAAGACAATTAATATTTAGAAATAACTATATTGAGTCTATAATGCATAGCAATTTGTAGCAGTTTGCCCACGTTTTGTAAGCCGTGTTGGGCACAGATACTCCATAACTTTCCCTTTACACAAATAGACGTAAATGTCTTGCCTCTCACGGTCTTCAAAAAGAGAACTTGATAAAACACCATCAAAGAATACCTGATCAACTCCTAATTCAGATGTCA